TTTGTTTTTTTTTTCTTATCTCTAGTTAATTGTATCAAAGATCTTCTTCCTTTTACGATTCTCTTCATTGTGTGCTGTGCTGGCGTAGCGGAAAGGTGCTGGTCTAGCAATCTTGCGGACCTGCGTTCAATCCCACGCCCGGCCAGTGAGTGGTATCCCCGGCCACTCCTTGCACACAGGGGGAGGTTTGGGCAACATAAAACAGACAGTATGTCACAGCAATGAATATCCATTGTAACTAATGGAATTGAAAATAAATCTTTAAATCTTTAATCCTCTCCAGCCATCCAGACGGCGGCGGCTGCAGGAGATATAGCTCAAGTGCAGGCTTTCCTGGACGGTGGGACCGACGTCGATGATCTATCTAATGGTAAATGCCTTTTCCTGTTTAGCCTCTTGCAACTGCTGCAGGAAGCGCTGCATATATATATATATATATATATATATATATATATATATATATATGTGTGTGTGTGTGTGTGTGTGTGTGTGTGTGTGTATATATATGTATATATATATACATATATATATATGTGTGTGTGTGTGTGATATATATATATATATACAATATATATATTTTTTTTTTTTCTTTTATGTGTGTCAGTGTGTACCTCTTTTCAACAGGAGACACGGCGCTGACGGAGGCGGTGCAGAACGACCAGTACGCGATGGTCGAGTTCCTGCTCAATGCCACCGCAGACATCGACAAATCGAGAGTCAACGGTGAGTGACTTAAGTACAGGGCGACTGCTGACATCAAACCGCCGCTTCTCGGCTTCACACTACCTTTAGAGCAGTAACAATCGGCTCAGGGAAATATTATGGTCATTATTATCATTATTATCTTCAGTGATATCGTGATTTCTATATTTTTTATTATGATCGTTGCTGTTATCATCATTATCATCTTCGTCGTTTGCATTGTTGTTTGTACTATTCTGATTATTTTTCCCGTCACTATTATTACTTTTTTTTTTATCTTATTTACATAATTATAATTATCCTTTTCATTATGATAATGATTATTATTAATATTACAGCTTACTTGATTTAATGAACAAGCTATGGCCAATTTAACATAACTGAAATTCAGCTATCTACTTTCTGTTCGACAACAATTATTAAGATTTCTTTTTCATTTCATAATGATATAAGTACATATGAAATGAATTCTTATATATCAATTAGACAAAAAATATTTCTTAAACTTTGAAGATTTCTCTCATTTCTTCTTGATTCCTCCCCATTCCCCGCTTTCTCTCTCTCTCTCTTGACTCCTCCCCTTTCTCCCTTCCTTGACTCCTCGCATTCTCTTCCTCGCTATCTCTCTTTTGACTCTTCCAGCTTCTTGTGCTATTTCTCTCTCTATCTATCTCTATCTACCTCTCTCGAGCGAATTTATAAGTACGAGATTTTCCTTCTCAGGCCGAACTCCACTTATGTTGGCTGCCACCAACGGCTTTTACGACATTCTCGTTCTCTTGGTGAACGAAGGAGCCTCTCTGGACCTGGAAGCTGGTGGTAAGCACGTGTCAGTTACTTAGACCATGTCTGTTAGTTTCCCTGCGTGTACTACGACTTAGACCGTGTTTGCTAGTCTCTCCTTGCTAGTTAATTAGACTCTCTGCTAGTTTCGCCGTGTTATTGAGTATTAGCTTCTGATCTCAAATAAACCGGATTCCGCATCTGAAACGCACCACTGAGACCTGTGCAAATCACGCCATGGACGGAGAAGTGTAGCATCGTGTCCAAAAGGGCGCTGTGATGACCGCGGTGTGTTGCCACTAATGGGTAAATGCTCATGGATGCCGTTCACATCTTCACTATATCGTGCCTTTAGCAATATCTTGAAGTCTAGGCAGATGGTGAGTTGCAAGACGGCAGTATTGTGGGCGCTGCCACCTCCTCTCACGCCCTTTGGTCTCTCTGGCTTCCTTGGGCGAAGTGGCCGAGCGATGGAGACTCAGTGTATATGTGTGTGAGGATGTATCCAATCACACTTCACACAAGAGAGAGTGCGCCTGAGGTCAGATTGTTGCCTGACTTTAAAAAGGAAAGTGAAAGACTAATCTTCCAGCTACATTCTACAGACATTTCCAAAATGATGGACGTAAACAATATCAGAAGGAAAACCAATACATTTTCATTTTTTCTTGCTTATAATACCCTATATGCTAGGAGGACCTGGACTAATACCTGTGTGGTGTAGAGAATAACGGGAGACCCCAGGTACTCAAGTAAAAGGAGAAAGGACACAATTCGTAGGACAAAACACTGAAAATGCGTTAACATGAGTAGTTGCAATTAGAAACTAGCACGATGAATCTGTTGACAGTCTGCTTGACCTGGTGTGATTAGATGGAAGGAAATTGCTTCTTGGGAACCATTCCCTAAGAACAGGGTTACCAGTCTCACTGAACAGTGTATGGAGCCTCCGGTGAACAGACAATAGTTATGTAAATAATAGTCATTAGGGATAATCAATTTTCCTTAATCTGACATGTGCATACATATAGTAATTGAGTAAGAATAGGCTGAGAGCAGTGCGGCACTGCTATCGGTGTTTCAGTGTTGCCTTCTGAAATCACGGGCTCAGTAGGCAGTGCCTCGCCAGGGGACAATAAGGCTCAGTAGTTTCAGTTATTAGTTTAGGGACACTTCCTGAAGTTAATTATGATAGTGTGAAAGAACCACGTTTTGTTGTTTTTCTCTCTCTCTCTTTGATAAGCATTTTTTTTTTCTTGTTTAACATAACCTAATGATGATCTGTGACCATGCATAATTTAAGAATTGATTTATAAACAGAATGAATATATATCTATTTATGTCATTGTTACTGCTGCTGCTTGTTTCAACTGCCGCGTTTTGCCAATACAATTTCTGATAGTGCACCAGTAGTAACTGTTAAAATACTCACATTTCCATTAATCTTTTTGAGCTTTCTTTCATATCAACCTAATACCTACCAACAGGCAAAACAGCTTATGAATTCGCAGTTACAAACAGTTTTGCATATATTGCTTGTTTCCTGCGAGAAAATGGAGCAGCTACAGCTGGCGTATCGGATGGTAGGTTTAGTCTCTATGTTTGTGAATAATGAAAGAAATTAATGGATCATATACTGTGCATATATACCTGGAAGATGTATGTGAATGCGGATGGAGAAAGTGAAAAGGAAAGGGAAAGGGAGTGAGAAAGAGATAAAAAGAGTGAAACATTGAGAGCAGAAGATATAAAGGGGAGTAGCTACGACTTGAGGTGTTCCTCGGATCCCATCGCTGCCACCAGCAAGGAGTGTTATCGTTGGGTGGCAGGCTGAGCGGGAGAGAGGGAGGGGAACCCAGCCACGCTGTTTAGTACAAATTCACGCAGTAAAATTCGCGCTGTTTAGTACAAAATTCACGCTGTTTAGTACAAAATTCACGCTGTTTAGTACAAAATTCACTTGTTATTACTGAAAGAATGTAGGTGGAGAAGGAAGTTCTTGGCTTTGCAAGATTAAATCTACAAAGCTTTTGTAAACAGAATGCAATGAACAATCACTGATGGGGTGAATGTATCTGTGTATGATAACAGCAATAACTAATTTTGTAAATGGGTATTAAATATCAGTAGACAAAAGCAAACAGTGGATACAAAGTAAACGAGGGGAAAGAGAGAGAGGTTGAGAAAGGAAAAAGAAAAAAAAAAGAATAAAAGACAGAAAGAGCATTATTTTTTTTTTTTTTTCTTAAGTTAAAGTGTTGACCAAAATGTTTCCACAGATAGAATAAGCGGAAAGTGTGCCTTTGGTGAAACTGAATACGACACCGGGGATAACTGGTAAGTCTAAAGATATTTGATTTTTATTTATTTATTTATCTATTTATTTATTATTATCATTATTTTTACTATTGGTTGAATTAGTCTGGATTTAGCAGTCGCCACCCATTGTTACACTGTTGTTATGGTTTTAATGTGTTTCATTATTTGTACATGAAGTGGGTAATACTACGATAGAGACGGAAATTAAATCAAATTACAATGGAAGTTGGACTATGGTGGATGAGGTATTCGGTGAGCACAAATAACCGAGATGTTAAAAGTTTTGGGGAAGAAATATCACTGTCAAGACTTAGAGGCTGATTGGGTAGAAATATTGCTGCCAGCCATGACGTATCTGGAGTAACTTTTGCACAAAAAAATAAAAAAAATCGTGTGTTGATACGAAATCCATAAGGAAGTTTAAAGAACTGTTGACTTTCACGGGGGTCAAAGGGAAGTATTTATACTCTCAGGACGTTCCTGATGACATACCCATGAACTTGCTATAGTGGGCACCATACCCATGCTGATGTATATTGCTTCGCTGTGATAGCCAAGTCTGCACTAGGCGGTGGACTATCCCCTGAAGCCAGAACATTGGATTGGAGATCTGTGATTATTAAGCTATTAATTGTTACTTTATTATAGAAATGTATATTACATAACTTTTTTTAGTTGAGTTAAAGTTATTCAAGTTAAATAAGGATAAAAGCTATGTAGATGTAAGTGAGAGAGACGGAGGGGTAGAGAGAGACACTCAGAGGTAGAAACAAGGATGGACAGTCACGCCATGTCTTGTAGTGACATTCTACAGGTAGTCCACAGCAACTACTCATTGCTCATTTATTACCGGTGGACACGTTGGAGCTCGTCCGTTGGACACCAGATGCATGTTCCTGAGTCCCCAGTTTCCGGTACATCCCCGGTCAATTTATCACTTGGGTTCTGGTACTTTCGAACACGTGACGCAGAACAGGAAGTCCAGTTCAAGCCCGTGAACCCTCTCGGTGTTTTCTGCTGCTGCCAACCCCCTCGTTTCGCAAGATCATCTCACTGCCATAGAACGCGATCGAAATGCGCCAGTTTAACCTAAACCCCAACGGAACCTCTCCCCCGCAGGTGCCAAAATGGAACTGCTGTCACCTGCGCGGGAACCTGCGACACCCAGCCGGCACCGGAAGGCAGCCTATCTGCGG